GGGTCTCCATGTGGCTCCTCCAGCTCCAGGGCTCTGGTTCCATCAGTGTAGCTCCATGTGGGTTATCAATAGGACTGTCTCACAGGGAGAGTGTGTCTGGTCTCCAGTGAGCTATTTCTCTCCATAGCACCTCCAAATGAGATCATCAAGCTGTGACCTGATTGACAAGCTAAACATCACCTTCACTCTTAATAGTCTCAAGTTGACACCAGATTGTGTAACTGCCACTAAGATAAGGCTTTCTGCACTGATAAAGATGTACAGTTTGGGACACCTTAGGGTGCAGTTCTACTCTGCTCTTTAGGCTTTCTATGAGTTGGAATCTATTGAACAGCAGTAGGTTAGTCTTGAAGACAAGTCCTGGAGAAGACCATCATGCTTGGTCAAGTAGAGAGTCAGCAGAAAGAGGAAGACCCAGAGTGAGGCACAGTGGTTGGGACCATGGGCTTGAACATAGAAACAACTGTGAGGAGGGTGCAGTCTTGGCGGCGTTTCATTCTGGGGTCGCGATGAGTCAGAACCAACTGGATGCCACCAAACACCAACGGTAAGCAAAAGAATACCAGATGATGTACCAAAGTGGCCATTTCAAATGAGGAAAGAGATCACAAGTTACATATTTTTTAAAAGCCGAGAAATGCCATAGACATTACGAAATCCAGGAGATAAAATCACAGTATTTTTCATGAACTGCCTGACCCGTGTCTATCCTACTTTTGCTCCTATATCTTTAAGATGCTTACCCTTTGGTTACCTCTGATAGGAGAATGTTCTTATAAAGTCATTTTCTATAGAGATACTAGAAAGACAGTTTCATCATTCCGGTTCAACAGTTGATGGAAGCTTTTTATTATTCGTAGTTGGTATGGGGGAAAAACGCCTTCACACGCTGATGAGCTCATTAGCTGTGGTGCTAATACAGACTCGTGATCAGTAAGCTCAGAATCTCTCATCATTCTATTTTGGGCGATTCTTGACAAAAAAGAAAAACTAGACACACATTATGGTATTCAATGCACGATCAAGAACTTTCGTTGCAGAAGAGAACTTCCATATTTTGTTTGCTTATTTTCTTTTTCCCAACAGTTTTATTGACATATAAGTCACATATCATACAATTCAATAGTTCAATCACATCAAGAATTGTCCACTCATCACCATAATCCGATTTAGAACGTGTTCTTCATTTTTGTACTCAGTTATTAGTGCCCCGTTTCCCCCCAACCTCCCCTGACATATCCCCAAGGAACCATTAATCCAGTCACTGTCTCTTAGGTTTACCTATCCTGGATTTCATACACAGAAAAACATAAAAATGCCAACAAACAAATAACTCCAAGTTTGACTGGATGTTGATGCGAACCCACAACGTATTACCTAATGATTGGAACTTTCCTCACAGACTAGCGTCTGCCCCCATCCAGATGAATCTTTGTTTCTCCTCTAGAACCAGGTACCTCCAGACCTATCCTAATATAACCACTTACTTTGTCCCTTCATGTATGGACCAAGAGAGAGTAGCAGCATTTCTGGAAGTCATTTCTATCTCAGGGCAGCTAGCAATAGCAAGCACATATAAGCTCCCTAATCAAAAGCTAACTGAATCCCTGATTGGATGGTCCCTTAGCTGGGTCTGTAAATGCTTGCAGCAATTCCAGTGCCACCCGGCAGCAGGGTGAGGCTGTGAAGTGGTAAGAGAAAGCAATCATAAAGTGTGCCGAATATGCTTATTTTTATAAACTTTGTAAAACACGAGGCCACATAAACACATGGCTCGACCTCCTTCCAAGGCCTTGGAAAACTATTGAGGAGGTGAGGGTTCCTGAAGCTGAAGCCGCATCAAAAACACAAACAACAACAATGAACCAAACCAGCTGCTTCTCCGTTGACACCACGCAAGTCAAATCCCGCTCCTGCAGAACTGCATTCCACAGGGCTTTCCGTGCTGTGACTGCCAGAACCAGCTCCCCAGGCCTTACTTGTGAAGTGCCCCTGGGTAGGTTCAAACTGCTAACCTTTCCGTTGCACCACCCAGGGACTCACTCAGGCCCTAGGAAACTTGCCTCTGCCTGTGAGGCGAGCTGAGTCCCGGGATACAGCGTGTGGAGAAGCCCTCTGTATTCTGGCCGTCAAGTACTTCCATTTCGCTCAAGCTACGTTTCTTTGAGACATAGCTGATGATACCTGCCTGGTTATCCAATGGTGTCATTTCATTGTGTGACTGTGGTGTTAACACAAGGCTAGCTCCTTGCTGGAACCAAATGGACCCAGAGAGTGGCCATTGGAAGTCACAGGATGGCGGTGGCAGCAGCCATGGCAGCAGCAGGAACATGGGTAAAAGCAGAGCTTCTCAGTGGCGGCACCCCCTCTCCAGGCTGTGATACGGCTGCCCCCACAGTGGTTTGGCTGCAAAACGCTGCCAGCTGGGACATGGCTTCGCTTCACACTGGGAACACCTGGCAGGTGCGCAATCTGTGTGGTGGCGCAGGCGGCTGCACCGGAGGGAGGCCTGGTGCGCTGCTTTAAAGCTCCCAGAGGGGCCTCACTGTCGGATTCTTCATTTAACTTGGGACAAGGACACTTCATTTTCCACTGGGCCCTGCAAATCCTCTGGAGGCCCTGGCTGTCTTTAGCACTCACTGGGGCGTGTGCGGCTTCTGCCCAACGCCTCTGCCAACTCTGACCCAGTGGAAGGCACAGGATGCATGCTGATCTTTGAAAGACATGATGTCGGAAATGCGCCTGTAGTTGGGCGCTGGACCAGGAGTGCCCTGCTCCCGGACCAGACTGTTCCTTCCCTGTGCAGTTGGAGGAGGCGACAACTGCCTGGAACCCAGCTGGGTTTCCAAAGAGCACCCTGTGGAGGTGAGTTTCTCTCAGCAACCTCCAGGTTGTTGCCATACTTCTCTTCTGCCTGGTTCCAGTCAGCCCTGCATACAGTGGCGGAGGGCCCAACTCGACCCTTCCAGGTGTGTAGCCTGACCTCCCGGGGACGCTTCCCTCCACTCCCACCCCCAGGCAATGTCTGGGGAGCCCCAGTCTGGAGAGGGCTCCCGTTCCAGTGGGGACACAGCCTCTTACCCCTGCCACCTCTCCGCGGCGTCGTTCACATCTGTATCTTTCAAACTCCGGAGCACCTGGAAGCCAAGGTTGGAAAGATGCTACCTCCAGTCGAGGTGAGGCCTGAATGCTGGAAAGAAGAGTTCTGGCCACTGGATGGAGGTTAACCTCCCTCCTCTGTTTCCTCATCGGTGGTCGGGGGAGGGTCAAGCCCAGGGGTCAACGACCGCACAGGATGGCAGGGAGGCCCGCGAGCGTGGCTCTCAGAACTTAGTATCAGCATTTATTATTAGGATCAAAACAATAACCGAACTCACTGCCATCCAGCACCCACCTGTGGGTTTCTAAGACTGTCACTGTCAACCGGCGTAGAAAGCCTGGGCTTTCTCTCGCGGAGCCACTGGTGACTTCGAACTGCCGACCTGCAGACCGCAGCCACCAAGACAACCCCTACTATTAAGATAACCATCTCTAACCATTGGGGTCCTGGACCCTTTGGAGAACCTGAATGTCCCAACTCCCCACCACCATCCCCGCCCCTCCAGTCACCTTTCCACCCCCCAAAAGGCTGGCCCACAATTCCCGGCATGGTCGCCCCTTCAAGCCGCCTCCTGGGCCCAGGCGCCTCCCAAAGGTCACCCCTGGGGTCCTCTCGCCA